TACTTATCTGTATTATATGTAGGCTTGGAATAAATTATCGGTAAATGTTGATCTCCCCATACTCTAACTGACGAAAAATATTTCTATTGATAATAACTGAAATTTACAGATGGACAAAGGAAGAAAAATGCCACTTGAGAACTTCTTAGAGTCAAAATGCAGCAACTTAGACTTGTTACAAATGGACAAGCAAATGAATAATTTTAAAAATGGTATTTGTTGATTTAAGGATATTTACTTTGTATATTTTGACATGTGATGTTGACAATTTGTGTGTTAATGGTTTATAAAGCTTGAACTTTTTGAATCTCAACCTCTTCTATCCTTAACTATCTGACCCTCCTCCCCCATAATTTCCTGCAACTATGAAAATTCAAATTGATAAAAATCTAAAAAAAAAATACTTAAAAATAAGCACTGATATCATCTGTCAAAAGTATAACAAAAATTGAATTCTGCTAAGCCTAATTATATGGCAATTTGTAACCACTCCCCTTTTAGGCACATTACTGTCCCTGCATTCTCAGCTAAGAGAAACAATAAAGATAAAAAAAGTGAAAAAGTAAGTTGAAATCCAGAGCACTCAGGAACATGTACATTCTGTTTTCCAGCTCTGCATTACCTCCCTCCCTCTGCCCCCTTGGTCTCTCTCAATATTTTAATAAGGTAAAATAACATATCGGAGTGTTGTATGAAACTCTAATAACTTGTTTAGGCCTGAAAATGATCATGTCTAGTGCCTGCTAATCTAACAATTAATTATCATTATTTCAGCTGAGACTTCCCTTTCCTTTAGAAAGAAAAACCACACTACCTCTAACGCTTTCCAACAGTATTAAATGGCCTGTGAGATTTTCAGCAAGGATAGTTAGAAAATGCTAGATCTATTTATGCAGGGAACAAAGAGGAAAATAGAAAAGCCAGTCATTATGCACAGTGCATAAGCAAAGTATTCAAAACACTTTTACCAACTGCATATTTGTAAATATTCCCCTGGGCAAAAGGATTCAAATCCAGGCTTTCTTTAGGAACATCTCTTTGGATTTAAAAACAAAATCTTCACAGAACAGCTGGAGCCATTTGCTGTGACAAATCTGATGCTACTCTCAAATTTTATGGGTAGCTAAAGCCATGCAATAGATGGTATATAATACACATTTGTTATCTACATTCTTCTGTTGTGAACACAGATATTGTAATTTGACAGCAAGGAAGAAAAAAAAGATGGCTCCAGTTTGCAATGGCAAAACCATACGTTCTCTCAGCATCCACTGTAATTAGTGTTAGTGGAGTTTAGGAAAGTCTATTTGGTGAACATGCTTGAACTCTTTGGTTTCTCCTGCATTAAGGTATTGTTCTGGGCGGAAAACAGTCAGGCTCTTCTATTGCTTCTTGAACGCTTGCTTCCTGGACCTCAGTCCCACACAGTTTCCCACAGTCTCTACATATTTCTAGAGAGAACCTGATAAAAACAAATAGGAGGGGGGAAATTAGCTACTTGGGACAATAGCTCTGGAAATTCTGCAAAGCAAAATTGAGGTGAAATATCAGTGAGATTCTTAGGAAAGGGTGGAAGTTTCACTACTTGGGACAAAGCCCTAATGAGAATAATCTACTGAGGGGATATTATTGTGCTGTATTTAGCTATATAATTACCTTGTTTTCTGTGTATTAAATTTCTTGGGGTCTGTTGTTGGCAGAGGTGGTTGCTACGTTTCGAAGGAGAGTGGATATAGCATTACAGAAGAGATGTACGGTACTTTTTCAATTTGTCCTTTTTGTTGTTAGTATTCATGTTATAGTAATATTTATGTTAATTTATAAAGTGCTTTGAAATCCTCCCAGTTCACTGTTAGTCAAGATTCAAAAATTCATTTTTGTTGGCAGGGAAATCACTAGCTAAAATTATAAGAAATAATTTTAGGATTTGGGCGCTTTTTTTTTTTCGTCTGGAAATCCAGTAATAATATCTCCCTTGTTGGCTGCAGGAGACTTTCTGTTCCAGCCTGTGATGAGGCATCTGCCCAACAAAGGAGTAAAAAGGGTTAACCTCAACAGGCAGCAGTGGAGGTGAGTCCTCTGAGCAGCCTAGAGAGGCTGCCTGGGGTGCAGCCAATAGGAGAGAGGCTGCAAGGAGCAGCCAATCAGGGCCCAGAAGGCTTACATAAAAGGAGCTGTAGCTCAGAGTTGAGGTCAGTGGTTGCTGGGTGCTCAGGGAGTGGGCACTGTGTTCCTGAGAGGCTGAGAGAATAGGAAGCACCTTGGACAGAGCAGTTGGTGGCAGGGACTGGGGGAGCTCCTGGTGAGCTGCAGGGGATGAGCAGCTGAGTGCCCTGAGGCAAGGTTGAAGAAGGTGCTGGGGCCATGGGGAAGTAGCCCAGGGGATCGTAGCAATGTTGAGAGGCTCTAGAGGCTCAGCGGGAGGCTGCTATCCCACAGGTTCCCTGGGCTGGAACCTGGAGTGGTGGGCAGGCCCAGGTCCCTGCCACTTGCCACAGGGAAGTGGCATGATTATTGGACTGTGACACTAATCCCCGGAAGGGGGAAACACAGATGATAGCACAGCTGGAGCGCTGAGTCGCGAAGAGAGCACTGCAGTTCCTGAAGCTGCAAGAGGGGCTTCAAGCAGATGCAGAGATGGAGGGATGGTGTGTAGACCATGGACATGTGCATCAGCCTCAAGCTTATCCCCAGACTGACCAAGAGGAGGTGCCAGTCTGGTGATGAGTGATACGCCCCATGACACAGCCCATATTTTCAACCCCTAACTTTCTCAATAATTCCTTCTAGGCAAAAATTCCTCTACTTAGTCTCAGGAAAAAGAGAATTGTTTGGACATTAAAGAAAAAAAACCCCAAAACATCTTGGGCATTTGCACTATTGTATACATTTAAAAAAAATTAAAAACCACTATTTTTTCTGCTTTTTTCCCTCCAGGCTGTATGTGGTAGAACACAAATTAACCAGTGACTGAGCTAAGTGGAAGGCATGCTTTGTTTTCATCAGATCAAACTGTTTTTATCTTTTTAAAATATGTTTTTATGTTTAAATTGTCACCCACAATTCTAAGCATCAAACTAGTACTATTTTGAAAGCTATTTTTAAATATAAGAAACCAGTATAACATATAATAATGTTTAGACTAACAATACACAGTATCAATGAACAATTTTTACAATTAGAGAGAGTGTTTAAAAATGAGTAGAGTAACCCACAGGACACTGGCCAGTTCCTAACAGCCAGGCTCTGGCTGTTTGCAAGTGGTTTTGTGGCTCAGGTAGAGGGAACTAGCACAAGGGAGAGTTCCAGAAACTGTGAGAGGGAGCACTTGGCTAGAGCAAGTCATGACCTGCCTGTTCTTACAGCTGCTGGGAAAAAGCCAAAGATCCAGCCTGTGCTCTCCACATAGGGTGACCAGATGTACCGATTTTATAGGGACAGTCCCGATTTTTGGGTCTTTTTCTTATATAGGCTCCTATTACCCCCTACCCCCATCCCGATTTTTCACACTTGCTGTCTGGTCACCCTATCTCCACATGATCCATCAGACACAGGAAATCGCTTAACATCCACTCCCACATAATCTCTTGTATTTGTCCTCACACCGTCTCTCTTTCTCTCTCTCACTCTCTCTCACACACAATTCCTTAAACAAATATCACACATCTAATTGATTTAAAAGCAAAAAAATGCAAACAGTTCTAAATAGCAGAGTAGCAGTATTTTTAAAACAACCACTGAAACAGGAGACCTTAGCAAGCAATATGACAACATGTAACTGTGATCAGTAAAGAACAGGGCAGGGGAGGGTATTTTGGAGCATGTGTGGGAGGGAAGGAGAATAGTATTTTATAAGCCAGAACTTTTCTATATTGCAATTGTTGGGGAAAAGATATTCTTTAAAACCCACAAGAAATCCAGGAGGGAAGGGTTCCTTCTTCTGGCCTGTGAATAAAACCGCATTTGAATGGCTTCTGGTGGTGGGTCCTGTGCAGGTGTTCTCATCTCAATGTAGCTAACACAGAAAGGGTATGTCTATGCAGCAGCTGGGAGGTGTGATTCTCAGTGTGGGTAGACATACACGCGCTAGCTCTGCTTGAGCTAGTGCCTAAAAATAACACCGTGGCATGGTGACACAGACAGCGGCTTGGGCTAGCTGTCCAAATACAATCCCGTCCAACCTCCTGGGTGTGTACTCGGGTGGCTAGGCCGAGCTGCCACCTGTGCCACGGCAACTACGCTGCTGTTTTTAGTGTGCTAGTTCATGTATCTGTACCTGAGCTGGGAATTAAACTGTTATTTTAAACAGCTGTTGTGTAGACATACCCAAAGAGATACCAACAATGAAGTGGAAGTCAGGGTGGGAAGGGGTGGAGTAGACTGTCAGGATTCTAAGAGGAACAAAGGGAGACTCTCTGATAATGTATATTGGAAAGGTCACATGCACCGGTAGCAAACCCTTGCTGCGTATGCCCCTGGGATGTTTTACTGAACATTTTAGAAGGCGTATGCTTTAATGAGAGGAGTGTGGAGGACACAAAACAGATCCCGACACCCCTGGGGTGGTTGTTCTGATCAGCAAAGCCACCATGAGGGTTGTTCTTTGTATCAAATGCTTTATGAATAGAGCAGTATGAATAACTGATTTCTGATTCAGTGGCCAAACCAGAAAAATGGGGGGGGGGATGCTTTGGGTCAACCTGAAACAAAATGTTTCTATGAACCAAAATATCAACGTTTCATTTTGATTTTGAGGGGTTTGAAGTGTTTTTAAATACCATTGAGGGAAAATCTGAAATGAAACATCTTTCCAAAAAAGAAAAGTTGAAATGTTTCATTCCAGAAATGAACTGTTCTGACGTTTCTGAAATTCTTTTCCCGTGACTGAAACAATTCACTGAAACTGACCTGAATTTGCAAATTGTTTCAGTTGACCTGAATCTGCATTTTTCAGTGGGGAAAAAAAAAAGTTGTGCACAAAATTTTTTGGCCAGCTCTAATTATGAACCATCTGTTGCAACAGGGTCGGAAAACAGCTTGTAGCGGATCAGGAAATATGGGTAGGACTGGCTACTGTTAAAGATCACGTAGATGCTGGAAGTGGAATCAACAGATGAATCAAAGGGTGGGCCACTAGACCTTATTGTTGGGGGTTGACAGTAACTAGCATTCCCTACAGCAGACTTTCCCACCAGGACCTTTGCCAGAAACATATAGCGCAGCCCAGCCTTGCATGCTGTACAAAATCCATTTGAGTACTGGGCGTTCTTGACAAAATAGCTGCCTTTGCCAAAGGCAGCAAGATGCTGTCCTGAGAGACGAGGGTCAAAGCCCACCTGACAGATGGAGTTCTTGCTGTCTGCTGAGGGGCCATGGAAGAGATGCTGTTCTAGCTGTTTTTTCTCTTCTGTTGAGAGTCCTCGGGACATTATTTCCTTCTGACTGAGCAGAGAAAAGAACACAAACACAGAGTTATGGTTACTGCTGTGAGGGAACATTTGCTAAGGGGCTGGGACAGAATTGGAGACCTAGTCCTACTTTTATGTTCTCATTCCTCCCTGCTTACTCAATATCTAAAAAAACAAATCCTGAATTCTAAGCACTAAGGTTTCAGTCAGCTATCATTTGAGAGAGCACAAGACACCCCACATAACTAATCACACCCACACCTGTGTATGATCACTGTTGTGCACAAGTTCTACTCCACCCAAGCTCAAAGATCACCCATCAAAAGCCATTATGCACTCACCAGTGCATTAAGATTCACCCACTGACAAACATGTTCACTCTAGTACAGTAGGATCTGCATTCAGTTTATTAGTGATAAGATCTATGGTTTGCCACCAAGCACAGCAGGATCTTCTTTCTAGGGTACTAGCACATCTGAGATTCAGGTTCCAAGATTTTTGAGGACACCAGGATCTGCAATGCACTATTCCCAACCTAGATCCCATGGTACATTCTATAACCTCATGTATTCCTCCAGTGCTGGGTTTAGCCCACTGGGGGCCCTAAGCAGGAATATCCCCCTCCCCCCCCCAACACATACTAATAATTAATGGGGGGCCTCCTTGAGCTGCTCGGAGCCCTAAGCAATTGCTTAATCTGCTTATGCCTAGCACCAACTCTGTATTCCTCTTTATACCTGCTGTATTTTTGCCAAAGATACTCCTGCCTGATCCTGTAAATCCCTAACACCAGAAATGTATCCTCTGAGAGAGATTTGTGGAAGAGAGTATAAACTGTGCTGTACACTGCTTCTGATGGTGCTATTTCACGTTGCACATAAGTGGGTCCTTCTGAGGGGCATGAGATCCATGATGCAGGATATGGTCCAGAGTACCCATCAGTGGGATCCTCCCCAGGGATGTTGGCAGCATAAGGATTGAGATGTCCCCTACAACCATTTGGGAGTGTCCTAAGAAGAGAATAGGACAAATATTTGTTTGGTTTTAATATGTTCTGGTTACCTTCATCTTCCCATCCTAGCCTCACACCCCCATGTTCCACCTTGTTTTAATTTAGACTATAAGATCTTTGAGGCAGAGACTGTCTTACTGTGTTTGTAGAGTGCCTAGCACAGGGGCCCAAATCTTGATCTCGGCACTACTGTATTATATATGATAATTACTTACAAAAAAACTAATTTCAAAGTTTCCCGGTCATAATGCATATGTACAAAGAGGATGAATTAAGGTTGCACAGGCTTTCATAACTTTCAAATTCTTGACATTGCAACTAGAGCTGGGCAAAAAACTGATTTTTTCAGTTTGCTGGCATTACCCTTCCACTCCCTCCCAAAAAAGTTGGTTTGGTTGAACCAAATCTAAAAATTGTGAAAAATTTTGGTGAATCAAAAAGATGTTTTGGGTCGAATTAAACATCTTGTTTGGCCCAAAGGGCTTTCTCTCTGCTTTATATCAAAGGCCTGCTAAAAACAATGGATGTGTGAGAACTTCTCTCAAAACATCACAATAATCCTTTACAATAGAATGTGTTAAGCAATTTAAATATATAGGTGCCCTCACCAGTTCCCTATATAATTATCTGAATGCCACTTACATTTTTTTAGAGGGAGTATTGCAGGTGGAGTTACTTACCGCAGATGTGGAACCATGTCGATAGGTGTGTGGTAGGCAGGATGGCGCTGAATGGATGACTTTTGTTCTGTTGTTGAGTTAGTTTGTATAAGGTTCTTCAAATCTAGAGTATACTGTTGGCCTTCGTGACTGAAGCTATAGCTTTGTAAGCCACTGTCAAAGGCATTAATGATTTCTTGGGAAATTGGCTATGCAGAGAGAGAAATTGGGGGGAGGGGGAGAAGAGATGGAATCAGAAAATGATAAGGAAGAAGGCCAGTTTTCCTATAATAATCCAGTTCTACTCTCATACACTACTTCCCACATTGCAACTCCCAACTCTGCCCTGGAGGGCATCACCTTTGCCTCTTTCTCTCCTGACCTCCTCATATTCCTTCCAATTGGTTTCATCAAGCCAATACATGTGCCACTCTGTGTGGAGATGTGGGTTCTGCTGTGGATCATGGGTGTTGGAGAGTCGCTGTATTTTGCCATAAGGACCAAAGGAGTACTGTTCCATCACATTTAGGTTGACTTTGCCTTTTGAACCATCCCTGTGGAAGAAACAGAACTTGGAAGAGATTCTCCTGCTGAAAGAAACTGGTGTTGAAGCACGAGCAAGCATCATTACTCTTGCACCATACCCCACAGCACCTCCTGCTGAGAGATGCTGAGAACAGAGTAGTTTGGAGCTCCCCATACAGCCAGTGCTCCTGCGTTGCTTCCTACAGCACATCCAAAAAGAATGTGCTCTTATAGGACTATGTACAACCAGATTTCAGGCTGGGGTAGTGGGACAAGCTGCTCTCTCACATCTCACAATCAGAATCTGCAGCATAGAAACTACTTCCTTTTTAAATTAATTTTCTAGCTTTTATGGTTGAATATTACCAAAGTTGGACTATCTGAAACCACATCCATACTAGGGTTGCCAACTTTCTAAACACACAAAACCGAACACCGTAGCCCAGCCCCATCCCCGAGGCCCCACCCCCACTCACTACATTCCCCCTCCCTTGGTGGCTGGCTCTCCCCCACCCTCACTCACTTTCACTGGGCTGGGGCTGGGGCAGGGTGCTGGGGTATGGGGGGGTGAGGGCTCTAACTGAGGGTGCAGGCTCTGGGGTGGGGCCACGGATGAGGGGTTTGGGGTGCAGGATGGGGTTTAGGGTGGGGCCGAGGGACTGAGTGCGGGAGGGGGCTGCGGGTTGGGGCAGGGGGTTGGGGTGCAGGTGGGGGTGAGGGCTCCTGCTGAGAGCACGGGCTCTGGGATGGGGATAGTGATCAGGGGGTTGGGGTGCAGGAGTGGGCTCCATGCTGGGGGTTGGGGCAGAGGGATTCAGAGTGCAGGAGAGGGCTGTGGGTTGAAGCAGGGGGTTAGGGTGCAGGAGGGGGTGAGGGCTCCTGCTGGGGGTGCAGGCTCTGGGGTGGGGCTGGGGATGAGGGGTTTGGGGGCGTGGGAGGGGGTTCCAGGTTTGGGGAGACTGGGTCAGGGGGTTGGGGCTTGGGCTTGGGGCACGGGCTTACTTCAGGTGGCTCCCAGTTGGCAGCGCAGCGGGGCTAAGGCAGGCGCCCTGCCTGCCCTGGCCCTGCGCTGTGCCCCAGAAGCGGCCAGCAGGTCCGGCTCCTAGGTGCAGGGGCCATGAGGCTCAGTGCGCTGCTCTTGCCTGCAGACACCACCCTCACAGCTCCCATTGGCCATGGTTCCTGGCCAATGGGAATATGGAGACGGTGCTCAGGGCGGGGACAGTGCATGGAGCTCCCTGGTCCCCTTGCCTAGGAGCTGAACGTGCTGGCCGCTTCTGGGGTGCATTGCGGAGACAGGACAGGTAGGGACTAGCCTGCCTTAGCCTCGCAGCACCGTTGACCGGACTTTTAACGGCCTGGTTGGCAGTGCTGACCGGAGCCGCCAGGTTCCCTTTTTGACCGGGCGTTCCAGTCGAAAACCAGACACCCTGGCAACCCTAATCCATACAACAAATTTTACCCTTCTTTTAACCAGTTAGAGGGTGTAGTTGCCTAAAAACAGCACAAGGTTAATAATCAGTGAATAGTGTGTTAATTTGAACTGGGTACTATCATTGCTAATTTCCTGATCTGGCAGATGGATCTTTTCCTGTTACTAATTAGATTTATGTTAGTTTTGCTGTATGGTCCAACCCACTAATTACTTGATTATCTCTTCCATGGCTATGTCAGCTGGAAACAGGCTGATTTAAAAATGTTTGTAATTTGTTTTACTGGACATAGAATTCACACTATTCAGATTCATGAATTACAAAACTCCTGCATCTATCTATATTAGGGTTGTTTGCTGCCGCCCAGCACTTAATATCTAAGAACATCTACTACTTCCCTATTGTGGAAAAGTTAAGACATAGGTCTTGATCCCTACTTTGGACCAAGGATTTCTAGGTATTGGAAAGAGGAGGACATCTTGTCCATTTTGAATTTAGCAAAACTCAGTCAGAAGATGTAACAGTAGATCTTTGATCATCTTGCAGAGAGTGGTAGATATCTGACAGACTGCCATGCACTGCTGGGAAAAAGTCTTCGAAGGCTCAATCCAGTTTCTGGCAACTATGTGTGAGTTAGGGCGACCAGACAGCAAGTGTGAAAAATCAGGGCAGGGGGTGAGGGCTAATAGAAGCCTATATAAGAAAAAGACCCAAAAATCAGGACTGTCCCTATAAAATCAGGACATCTGGTCACCCTAGTGTGAGTGCTCCTAACCAGACTGACCACAGAATTAGTGAATCTTACGGACAGCCAGGAACCCAAAGCAGAGGAACTATTGGAGGATAGGGAACACGGAGTGAGGATGTGTATGATTCAGGTATTATTTTTACACCCTTACTATTGCATGTTTCTAAATGCAATTTGTGGTATGGATGCACTTGGGGTAAAGCAGTAACATATCAATGGCTCCTGTGCATGCTCAGTGGTCTTGTTACTGTGCTGGCAGAACTGTCCTCATGTGAGCATGGAAACTCCACCCTTCCAAGTGCCTAGCACAGAAAACGTTTTTTCTCTCTCCATACCTGCAGCCTATATTTACCCAAAGTACAAGTTAAGGATGGATGTGCCCTTTGATACTGCTGGCCCATGGCTCCCATCTCTCCATAATACTGCAAACAAGTCACACTTAAAAAAATGTTATGTAGTTGATTGATGAGTTAGCCTACAGTTTATTTAGGTAATGGGGTCAGGGTGCCAACACTGGTGCTAACTGCTGCTGCTGCAGAGTCTGTTACTGGAGTCTCGACTTGGCCAATGTACAAATGATGTCTTGGTTTGTAACTTCTTTAAAATATTCATCTGGGACCATGGAGAACTTTCCTGACATTCATTGTTCTTAGTCCTAAATCACAAGCAATGTATGTAATTCATTTAGCTCTGCCTCCTTTTCAGGAACCACCTCAGAGTGTTTTGTATTCTGGTATCATTGCTGCTTGACAGTCTGGAAGAATAAAAATCTCCAGAAGCTGGAGGATAGATCTCACTGAAGTACCTGGTTGGTTTGCATGATGGAAAATGGACACTGCAACCTTTGAAGCAGGATTATGGGATTGCATATGAAATCTGATAATCCTACTCAGAAAGCATGTGTGGGTTAAAAAAAATACCCACTGCCTTGGTGCCCCTATTGCATTTTGGGCACTGTGGTGTAGTTTCCTAGAATAGGCTCATAAAAACATGGCTAGGCAGAGCATTATTTATTGATGCAAAATCACAGTTGTGATGGCAGAAAAGCAGTTGAATGGATACAACCCAAACTGTTTACATTGTAACCAGGGCCGGCTCCAGGGTTTTGGCCGCCCCAAGCAGCCCAAAAAAAACAAAAGCCGTGATCGCGATCTGCGGCGGCAATTTGGCGGAAGGTCCTTCGCTCCGAGCGGGAGTGAGGGACCGTCCGCCGAATTGCCGCCGAATGGCTGGACCTGCCATCCCTCTCCGGAGTGGCCGCCCCAAGCACCTGCTTGCCAGGCTGGTGCCTGGAGCCGGCCCTGATTGTAACAGATTAAATGGAGCATGCCTCTAACCAGTAACAAAATTGCAGTTGTAGCTGTTGTGTGGACATGGTCTGAGTCTACAGACAGTTGCCCTGTACCATATTGCGTCTGTAGCTGGGAAAGGCTGAGATTGGAGTAGCTATGATCAATGTCATGTCATTTATGTCATGGAGGTCACAGAAGTCACAGAATCTGTGACTTCCAGAGACCTTTATGACATTTTCTGCCTCAGCCCCTGGGGCTGTGGGACTGAAGCTGGCAACCAGCAGGGCTTTGGCAGGGTTCCAGTGATAGGCGACAGCCTCCTCAGGGTCCCCCCGCAGGGTTCCAGCCACAGGTGACAGCTTCCTCAGGGGACCCTCCTCAGGGTTCCAGTGGCTGGCGACAGCCTTGCGTGAGGGGAGGGAGGGGGAACCCTGCAGCTGCCACCCACCACGGTGGTGGGGGAAACCATGGAGCTGCAACACCAAAAGTCACAGACAGGTCACAGTTTCCATGAATTTTTGTTTATTGCCCATGACCTGTCTGTGACTTTTACTAAAAATAACTATGACGAAATCTTAGCCTTCGCTATGATCTCCCTAGAATTAGTGCTCCTGCACTATTCCATAAGCACCCCCTGTTGGGATAGGGCATGACTGGAGTAGTTATGAACTTTCTACTTCTAAAGCACCACTATTCCAGTTGGGTGTGTGGGGGGAGGGGGTTGTCTAGGACAAGAGCAGCTAAGAGTTGCCTTCTAGGAGAAGTTGGGTCTGGAGTTTTTCTGTCACTTACTTTTCCACCAGTGTAACTAGTGAGTCATTTACATTGCTGTAAAGTTTCTCCAGGTGCTGCTGAGCCAATTCATTCATGCTCTGCCACACTCCTTTCTTCTTCCGCATCACCTGCCAGTGGTAAGGGTAGCATGTGTGGTGAAGCTGGCATCTCTCCCCTTTGCAGAGGCCAAGCAGGAAGCGGTCACAGATCCTGATGCCGTTTGCCTGGTGGATATGAAATTGGATCCCATTCTCATCCTCGAGCTGCTCTGGAGCTACCAAATGGCTTTTAGAATCATCTCCGTGCTGCATATTGTGGACATAGAGTGGAGTGAGTTCAGTGGAACTGGCTTCATATTGGCTGAAGCAGTAGGGGTCTAAGAGCAACTGGAGTAGAACCTTTTGGAAGAACAATTCCTGGGAGAAACAAAGAAAGAGAAGCTGAATAGGTGGTGAGCTGTTCTGCTGCAGGGCCCTGGGCTTCAAATTCCCCATCCTCTTCTCCCTTTCCCCCATAATATATAAAATGCTTTCGCCATAAAACCGCCTCTCCCAGACATCTCCTGGATTAACCCCAGTTCACATCCAGCTATCTCCCAGCTGGAGTTCATTCACATACCTGCACACAAACATACACTGCACAAGCCCAATAAGACCTCACTTACCTGCTTTTCCCCACAGACTCTTCCCTGAGATAAATCATTATTTTCTGATCTTCAACCCCCAGCACTAGCATTTCTCTCCTCAAATTGATTTATTTTATTTGTATTATTGAGCCTAGACACAGACCAGGACTCCATTGTGTTAGGTGCTGCACAAACACAGAGCAAAAAGCTTCTCTCCCAGTGGAAACCCCTTTTCCTGGACTTTACCCTCATAGCACCCTCCTGGCTACTCCAAAATGATGCCCTCTCTCTCTGGCTTTCCCCTGATAGGACCTCCTCCCATTTCTGATTCATCCCTGCGGGCAGGCACGCGCGCTGCTTCCATCATTCTCCAGGGGCTTCACACTAATCACCCAATAGGTTCCCATTTTGCAGGGTTTCAGCCTTCCAGCATCCACCCTGCTCCCTCAACAGGACCTCACTCCTAGGATTCACTTTCAGGTCCATCATGCTATTTCCATAGGATTCCTCCCTCTCCCCCTGGGATTCTTATATACACAGCACCCACAATGAATATCCGTTTGCTTTTATCTGACTACAATCTGTCCCTTTATGTTATGTATGTAATGGGCGCCCATCCCCACAATAGCTAGGGTCTTATTGAGTCAGGTTACAAGTCACCCCTTCAGACCCCTCCAAACTGCTTCTGCAATGGGACCCTTCGGGGCCGTACAGTGCAAACACAGGTCACTCGCTGGGGCTCCAAACACACACTGGTCTCTCAGAGTATGTCTACACTACAAGTGCTACAGCAACACAGCTATGGCACTGCAGCTATGCTGCCATAGCGTGGTGGTGCAGACACTTGCTACAGCAATGGAAGGGATTTTTCCATCATTGTGGTAAATCCACCCCCCTCAAGAGGTGGTAGCTAGGTTGATGGAAGAATTCTTCCGTCAGTCTAGCAGTGTCTACAGCTGGGCGAAGGTTGGTTTAATTATCTTTCTCAGGGTGTGGATATTTCACACCCCTGAGCAGCATAGCTAGGTCATCCTATGTTTTAGGAGTAGACCGGGCCTCAGTGGAAGCATCTCGCCTGAGCTTCATCCCACTTCCTCCTGGCCCTGCCCTGCAGGGATGGGACCCCTCTGCAATGGGAGCAACAAGGGGAGTTAATCTCAGGGTATCTCCGGTGGGCCAGTGAGTTGCACTGCTTTAGGGCAACAGAGGACGGGCCCTCCTGTAACATGTCAGGATGTTAACGCCGGGCTGTGCTGGGCGGGGCAGTGATGTGTGCGTCAGCTCTGGCCACGCTCACCCCTCCTGCTCTCAGAAATATCCAGCAAGGTAGCACCCAACCTGGCTCCTCCTTAGTCTTAGCTGCCCTAAAGTCTCTTCCCTCACTGCTGCTCAGCCCTGGCTCCTGTCTCCCCAGAGATCCACCCCCACCTCCCTCCCTTGTCAGCGGGCTGGGTAATGCGACCCCTGCCTCAGCAAACCACAAGAACCCACTAAGGCTCCACACCGGCTAATGGGTTATTACAGGCAAATGCTGCCAGCCTGTTATAGTCACCTCCTCTCCTAAGCTTGTGGGGGGGAGCGACGCATGCATCAGCTCCGCCATGCTCACTCCTCCTGCTCTCTGTGCATGGGGTGCACAAGGCAATTCCATCTGTCAGTTAAACTGCCATCCCCATCTGTCAGTTAAACTGCCATCCAGCCCCAGCATTCCAGGCTGCCCGGCAACACTCTGCGCCCCTCCCACCCGCTGCCCTGGAGGGGCGAGATACTGCCTCCGCCATGGAGGGCTGTAAGCTGTAAAGGCATGGAAGCTTCACCTTCCCCAGCACACTCTCAGACACTGCCCCCATCATGGATCTTGAGCCTGCCCTGCAGGGACCCCCCATCTTGGGCTAAGATGGGAAGCCAGTCTCAGGATAGCTTGGCCTTATCTGGGAATTTCAATCCCCCCCCCCTCCAAATTTTTCAATCCCAATCATTTACTTTTGGGGTTAGCTGGCTTTGGGGGAGTCGTGCATGGATCAGCGCAGGATCATGGTCTCTCTCTCTCACACACACACACACACACACACAGGATAAGCAAGGCAAACTTTTGTGCTCCTCTCTCCCTCCCCATGCCCCCCAGAAAGGGATGCTGCTGGAGCCAACAGGGACTTTATGGTGTCTTGTATCATCTCTCTGTTCCATTCCTTTATGTAGCGTGAATATCAGTCTGCGAGAGAGTCTAGAAAGTTTGCAGTCCTCTCCCTACTCCATCCTAAACACACTGATCCGCAACAGGAGACTCCTCTTCCTAGGTTCACTCACACCCATTGCTCCAACAGCAATAATTAATAATGGACTCTCTTTGGGCATAGGGATTGGCAATGTATGTCTGCTGGGGACCTGAGAAATACATAAAATGGCAACCACTTGTCCCCAAAGTCCTGAATCAGTGGACACTGCCCCCAAACAGTCAGATGGAAACCCATTTCTCCACAGCCTCTCCAAAATTGAGCCAATAAAAATGTCTCAAGAAAAAGGAATAGGCACAGAAGAAATTTAATAAGTTCTTTATATTTAACCTTCAGAACATTTGATTAGAAAAACTGGGAGCTTCTTCATTAGACACCTAACTATGGATTTAGGAGCTTAACATTAGGCACTCATCTTTTAAAATCTTGGCCAGAAGTTTTAAGGCTATATTGTGCCTCGCTCCTGTGCACATGGGAAGGAGGGTGATTGTAAGAAGCCTCCCCGTGCCTTTCACACCCTCCTCCTCGTAGACAGTGAGGGAGCTCTTCAGAGCAGAGGCCATTCTTTCTGAGTGTTTGGAAAGCACCTTGCACATAGTGTAGTCTACCATACTTATTGATCAGAATAACCCACTCAGTCATCAGGCACTGTTGCATTCTTCGTGCTTCCTGCAGTGTACAGGCTGCTTCCTCTTAGTGTTCTGAAGGTCCTAGCCAGCACAAAAAAGGCAGGGAGAAAATAGGGTCATGGCCCCATCACTCCTTGTCACCAGCCAGTACAGATAACTGGATAAACAGAGTAGGAAAGGTTCATCTTGTTAAGTCATGAGTACGGCCTCATTTTTCACTTGGAAGCAGGGTTGGATTTAGGGGCAGGCGACCCAGACAACCGCCTGGGGTGCCAGGCTTGGGGTGCGCTGGTCTCAGGGTGTTATTTTTGTTTGCGACAAAAGGGAAAATAGAATGTTTGAAGTAAAATGTTTCAGGTATTCCGTATGCAGATTCATTTTTCACTAACTTCCTAAAATGTTCTGGGCCTTTGTAGAATCTCACGGACCCTTCCAGACTTTTTGAGAACTACATTTTCCTCGAATACTGCTGTATTCTGTGAATTATGAGAACTGGTTGTATTTTCTGTCTAGACAAAAGAAAACTGAGAACAGCCATCATGGTCTGCACATACATAAAGGGATTCAAGTATTTTGCACTTATACAGCACTTTACATTTTCCAAGCATTATGCAAACAGTAACTAATTAGTCCTCCAAACACCCCTGTGAAGTGTGTAACTAAGAATTATCCCCACTTTATAGATGAGGAAAATAAGGACAAGAGAATAAGTGAAAAGATATTACTTCACCTACCCAGGGGTGGCCCGTCCATATAGGCGAACTAGGCGGTTGCCTAGAGTGCCAAGTTAAATGGGGTGCCAAATTTGAGGGGGGAAAAATCAAATTTAAAAAAAAAATGAAAAAGATGGGAAAAAAATAGAAATAAAATAACAAAGATGTCATTATTTCAATTCCCGTGCACATACGGAGGGAATATGAATTATAATTAATTTCTCTACATTTCTGAGAATTTATTAATATGTCAAATATTTTATTTACTGCAAAAATAACATTTTAGCTAAAAAAATTTCAATTTGCGACATAGGGTCAAGATGACCCACTCCGCAATTTTGATAAGCAATGGCTCAGCCACAATGAAACACATCCGCCAGCGACAAGAGCTGCAATGCTAGTGACACCTAACTCGAATATACATCAAGGTCGTATAGCCAGAAATTCATGTAGAGCGGAGATATCGCGAGTTGATACATGTCAAACAGTCATTTTAACACACGTTGCAGTAGATGGTTAACAATCGAGCGAATACTGTGGAAAATTGTGTTTCTTGGTGCCAAAGAATAAAGAATAACATCTTTCAGCATTAAAATCCAAAATATGAGTATCTTTAAGCATTATTAAACCTTAGCGTTATTATCAGGCTGTATAATTATTAACTTCTCTTTGTTATAACTGGTTCACTTGTAATAAATAAGGTCCATAAAAGAAAAGTAACAGCGTTAACGCTTAATAGACTACGAAAGTGAAGACGTCACACTCCAAGCGGGTAACTGTGAGGAAGGGGATTACTTTCCAAACAACCGGTGTTGGATTATAATGTCAAAAAAGTCATTTTGTTTCCGTGTTTCCAGATGAAGGAATTTTACTTGGAGAGGAGGTTAGCTTACATCTGCATGGAAGCAGTTTGGAACATCAAGAGGAAGGTATATTACTTTGAGATGAGGGTAGCTCACATCCACAAAAAAGCAGTTTGGAAACTCAAGATGATGGAAACTTACTTCTAGATGAAGGCAGCTCACAGCATCAGAATGATATGGAAGTGGAGAAAATTTATTCACCTTCAGAGACACATGCAGAAATTTAAGTAAATGAAGTAGAAGGAAGAAAGGATGAGGAAGTTACAAACAAGTTACAGTATAGGGACCCAGCTTCATGGCCCAGATGTGATGACAGTGTGCGGCAAATTCTTGTGGAACATGGACCCGAACAAGTTCATGAATTTCCCTTCCTTACGGATGGAAATAAAAGAAAATTCTCTGCTCAGCATTACAAGAGGAAACTCATTAATGGGGAGGAAGTTCATCGAAACTCGTTACAATATTCAGTGTCAAAGGACTCTATGTTTTGCTTTTGCTGCAAGTAGTTTAGAAATCAAGCAATTGGTACATCACTTACTGAAAATGGTTCGAAGGACTGAAAAAACATATCTTCAATTCTCTCTTCACATGAAAGAAGTACAGAACATTTGGAATGTTTTCAAAATTGGAAAGAACTTAAATTACGATTGAAAAAAGGAAAAACTATTGATAAAGAAAATTTACGTGTAATCAAGGAAAAAGAAGAATATTGGCAACAAATATTAAAGCGTCTAATTGCTTAGTGAAAGTTCTTGGTGGGCAAAATTTAGCATTCAGCAGCCATGGTAGAAATGAAAAATTATACACTCCAGGTAATGGAAACTTTTTAACATTTGTTGAATACCTAGCTTTGTTTGATCTAGTCATGAAGGAGCACCTATGTAAAATAACTGATCATGAAACACAGGTTCATTACTTAGGAAAAAATATGCACAATGAACTGCTTCAACAGGGGGAGGGATAGCTCAGTGGTTTGAGCATTGGCCTACTAAACCCAGGGTTGTGAGTTCAATCCTTGAGGGGGCCATTTAGGGATCTGAGGCAAAAATCTATCTGGGGATTGGTCCTGCTTTGAGCAGGCAGTTGGACTAGATGACCTCCTGAGGTCCCTTCCAATCCTGATATTCTATGAACTCCTAGCAAATACCAAACAAAAAAAGAAAATTGTAGAAGCAGCCCATTCCCAATAATACTAGACTCTACACCAAATGTGTTGTGTTGAACAGATGACAATGATCATTCATTTTGTGGATATGGAAAAGTCTGCAGATGAAGATAATGTTGAAGTGTTCATGAAGGAACATTTTTTTGGGTTTCTTACCACTGAAGGAGACGACTGGAGCATTTATGCCTGAAACTATTCTACAAGAGCTTGAAACAATGTTATCTGTTGAAAACTTATGTGGCCAAGGCTATCATAATGGGAGTAATATGAAGGGTAAAGACAATGGTGTGCAAAGGAGAATGATGGAAATCAATCCTAGGGTCTTTTTCATTCCTTGCAGTTTGCATTCTCTGAATTTGGTTGTTAATGATGCTGCTAGATGCTGTTTGGAGGCAAAGCAGTTTCTTTGACCTGGTGCAACGTGTTTATGTGTTTTTCTCAGGCTCAACACACCATTGAGAGATTCTGACTTGCCATGTGAATTCTCTAACTGTGAAACCACTTAGTCAGACAAGATGGGAGAGTCGCATTGATGCTTTGAAGCCTCTTTGCTATGAACTTGGAAACATTTATGATGCCCTAATTGAAATTTCTGATGATACTACCTTTACTGGATCATCTGGCAATACAGCACGTTCAGATGCAGAAGCTCTTGCAAATGGCCTTTCCAAGTTCAAATTTGTGACTTCACTCATTTTGTGGTATAATATCCTTTTCGAGATTAACCTCACTAGTAAGCAATTTCAGGAAAAGAACTTGAACATACATTCTGCTATTCAAAAACTGCAGCAAACTAAAAATATTCTGGAGGCATTCAGAAGAGATGAAGGGTTCGAAAGAACACTGGTAGATTCTCTCGAGCTTGCTGAAGAAATAGACTTTCCAACAGAATTTGAACCAGAGCCAGTTCGCATTCGGCAAAAGAAACAGCAGTTTTCATATGAAGGATGAGACCCACCCATTCAGAACCCAAAACAAAGGTTCAAAGTGAATTTCTAC